AGAAGGCATTATATGCCGAAAGCTAACCAATAAAGTGGAGTATCAAGAGCTTCGAAAATACACATGAAAAACAAGTTGGAATGAAGCTCAGAGATAGCAGCATTTTGAAATATACGAAAAGGATGGTTAAATACGTTTAAATGGAGAAATTACTATGAGAGAAAATACTATGAGAAAAAGGCAAGAAATATATACATAAATATAGCCACGCTTAACTTACGGTCCGGGTACGATCCAAGCTCATCCTCATCCGGGTCCATCCAAGTCACCCCACCTCCTTTCGGCTGTGCTGCTCCAAGGTCCTCGGTTGCTGCGGACTATCTAACTGGTTGTTTCCGTCCAGCTTCATAGTGCGCAGCATTGGCACCACTTGAAAATGATAAGGATGTGGTGCTATGAACCCATTGGGGGCTACGTCGATGTTGTTGGCGTTGAATGGCACTGGAGCTGTCGAAGGCAGGCGGCTGCGGCGCTGACGACGGCCACGAATGGCAATGCAATCGCCGATAGTGACCAGAGTCCGCCGCCACGTGGCAAACTCTAGTTCTCTGCAGCGTACGGTGCCTTCCCGGCGGGACTACGGGCGCGCCACGCCAGGCTGTCCTTTAAGTCGTCCGAACGGCCGACACTCTTCCTTTCCCTTCTTTTAACTCTTCCTTTCTGTTATACATATAACACTTTCATCCCTCTAGTTTCACAACACGGTATAATATATATGTATGTATAAAAGTATGACTTCAGCACTTAGTTCAATACTAAAACCTTTTTTCATTGTATTGCAATTTTTCATGGGCCCAATCGACTGAATGGTCGACCGGATTTTCTACTTCGTTGTCGCCTTCTAAGTTTCGTTTCGCCTTCTTCTTCTCATTCGTCGTCGCCGTCGTCTTCTTCTTCGTCGTCTTCTTCTTGTTCGTCGTCGTCTTCTTCTACTTCGTCGTCGCCTTCTAAGTTTCGTTTTCGTCTTCTTCGTCTTATTCGCCGTCGCCGTCGTCTTCGTCTTCGTCGCCTTCTTCTAGTTCGTCGTCCTTTTCTAATTTTCTTCGACGTCTTCTTCTTCGTCGTCATCTTCGTCTTCGTCTCCGTCTTCGTCTTCTTCGTCGTCGTCTTCTCTTCTGCTTCGTCTGCTTCGTCGTCGTCTTCATCTTCTTCTTCCTCTTCGTCGTCGTGGCTTTCTTCTTCGTCTATCTTCTTCTTCAATGTATATGCGTAGACAGTTCGGTCATTGAATGGTTGAGTTAAAAGAAGCGAGGAAGAGACGGCCGTGTGTCCGATATCTTCTCCCCGAACACTGTGTTGCGCTCGCCGCACCAGCCGCGTATCGCAGGATTGCGATGAAAGATTGGAGCGCGCAGCATGTGAGGTAGGGGGTCCTTTAATTATTTGAATTAGCTGACCGCTCTCTTCAATTCTCATGCGGTCTTGATTGTCGTTAATATAGGAGGAGTCATTCTAATTGATCAAGTCTAATAAACATGAAAACGGAAAAGAAAGGGAAAAACGGTCAGAACTGATAAAAAAGAGAGGCAATCAATGAAAAATATTACGTACTATCGATTGGCGGGGAGGCGGGGTGAGTAGGTAATTGCAGTGACATTTGCCGTATGCCGCAAGGGAGAATGCCGCAATCTGGGAGAAGTTCCATTACCCCAAATGGTCCGGGCATCGAGTCCCGAACCGATATTCACCCAGGCCATCCAAGCCTTTCACCAGGTCATACGGAATCGATCAACTGGTTCCAGATTGTCTCAGTATGAAAACCCTGACGCAAGTCATTCTATACAGTGTAGGCCACATATTCATTTACGATACTAGAGGGAAGCCGAATGCGGGGTGCATCCCGAAGCAGGATCGCTTAGGATTAAAAAGACTGCACCAGTTACCCTTTAATCCTTTGACGACAGCACGGCACAACGGTGAGCCACGGTTTTTTGGGTCGCGTGGGACAATGCAGCTCAACGGTGGACCGCACTATTTCATCGGTTGTTTTTCTCGATTTTTAGTTTATTTGGAGTTCTTTGTATTTAATTGGTTTGCAATCACCAAATACCACTACACACGAAGTGGGCTAGGAAAATAACTGCTAATTTTTGAAAATTACTGATAAATTCAATTCTCTCTTTGAATATCACACTTTTTGTGCATTTTCTGAAAACAATCAATGCAAAAATAACCTTCACATCTACTGCCCCTAGAATTAACTCGTCTTGTAGGGGCGTGAACACTTCCAGAATCTCGATATAGTTGTTTGTAACGAATTCTTACGAGAATTTGCCCTCCTTTCAACTGCCTCGACTTTTATAAGTATTCCTTTTCGAATTTTCGAGTGTCGGATAAGTGGGTGCTATGTTCCAATAAGTCATTCAGTTATCGGTATAGAGATGATTCAAGAGTCCGTCCATTAGTCATGACCGCAGCAAACACAGCTGCTGAGTCCTTGCTTCTGGGCTACCTACCGAAGTAAATCTTGAATCTAAATTTTAAGTGAGTCTTAGCCCCCATGTGCAACATCTTCAAAGCATAGCTTGAAAAGTTTTATTCTTCAGTTCTACATTCGTCGGGTTCGACCAATAATCTTTCAAAACCACCCTCCAAATCATCCACTGCGGGTGATCCATTTCGACTCCCAAAGCTATATACTGCATAAAACCAGACCTAACTAAAGCTGAGAACTCATAATTACCTAATTTACACCTGTTTCAGACTAAATCATAAAAAACGCTTGAAAAATAGCAAAAAAATGCCCACATTAGAAAAATCTATCAGCCGTGGGACAGCGCGGCTCAACAGTGAGCCGCGGAAGCGGAAAGCTGCGAAACGCGTCTGTCCCGCGCGCCAGGCACGCAAAAAAACGCGTTCTCATCAAAGGGTTAAGTACTCATCACGGATAGCGTGAGCTTAATCAATAGGTTATTAGCTAGTACCGGAGTAGCTTCTTGTAAAAGTCCTTTTCCGACTTTTCAAACTTTGAAAAGACGTAAAAGAGAAGGTGGAAAGAGTGAAACTCGGAAAAAGTCATCTTGACTCTGATTCGTTTTCTCAATGAGCTCAACAGAAATACGAAAGCACTATAGAGCTTCTTACTAATTGAAGGTATTCCTTGAGTTAGTAAGGAGCTGTTCTATAGCTCTAGATTTTTGTCATATCATTTTTGTAACTTCAGAGCTTTGCAAATCACTGCTCTCGGCTAGATCTCTTGGGAAAAGCATAGAACATTGAACAAGGATAAGAACTGTTTCCTCTGGTGACGGGTCGATGTTGCCTGCATTGTGATAACCGACTGACTTCCACCAGGGCTTATTCGATTTATGTACCTGATTTATGTCGGTCCTGCTTATCATTCTGTTAATTACGACTATGTGGTTGCAGCGAAGAAAATGGTCTTCGATAGTACCAGAAAAAAGGCAGCAGATTTCCTTCCCTCCAGACGATTAGTCGGCATCAATGAAAATCTCGAGCGGGCCCTTTCTCACCGCACGACTTCGAAATAACGGCCTTTGATTCTTCGGACTGTTCATAGTGGGAGGGGAAGATGTACTAGAGAGGCTTTTGGTGAGCCTAATCAGTTTTCATGTAGTTCCCTCTGACTGAACCCTTTACGTGGCTGATGAGTAGCTTTTATTTAAACATGCTCTTCGGCGGGAACTTCTTCCGCAGAATCTGAAAGTATCTTGTGATCACTCGAATAGAAATTGTTCTCTAACTTTTTTCTAGGCCCTATAAAACTGGCAACCCTCACACTGCAAAATCACATTTAGATTTTGCTCGTTTTCTTCCTATCATGATTACATTTGATTTAACGATTATATTCACATGCGATTGTGGGACCTTATTGCATTACATTCGCAAAGCATGGCCTCTCCAGGAAAATGCTTTGGCTGCTAGCAGCCAACTCGTAAACTCTACATTCTTTGTGGAGGGTACTGTATACTACCTCTGTCCGCTAGCAACCCTTATTCACGTTCCATGAGGCCGTTCTTGGTCAGAATTGTGGTTCTTGATTTTAACCCTCTCACCTGCGTGTTCCACCCTCAATGAAGTTTCCTTTCATATCCACTTTTTCCCCGTTGCCCCCGGGCACGTGAGGAGGGGAAGCGAACGCTACTTGGGGGCGAAGCCGGTGTTACGGTAGATGTTACGATAGGTCACCTCCGTGACCTACACCCTTTTCAGGCGAGAGACCCTCAGCTTGGGGGGAGTCCCTTCCTATGAACAACCCCCTTTGTCATTACCAGTTATTTCCCCCTCTACTTATTTTTTCGAGTGCTTGCTTTTTTTTTCTTTGTTTTAATAAAGTTCTGTTTATCTCGCACACCTTCCAAGGTAACCGTTTGAACCAGCGCTCTCTCTCCCGTAAGTCGGGAATCACCGGTGGTTTATGGTTCAAACCCTGCCCGGTTCCGAGTCCGCTCGTTGATTCCGGGCACGTGAAGAGGGGAAGCGAGCGCTACTGCTGCTTCCGAGTTCCGGCAGTCGATTCTCGATTCCGTCGAAATTTCTCACAATATATAATATTACTGTTTCGCTTTCAGAATATGCTGAATAAGGCCATGCCTGAGGTTTACCGAGACAGTGCCTTGGTCGTCAAGAAGGAAACCGTATCGGTTTTGTTACTGATAATTAAGAAGAAATGGGTGATGGGGAGCTTTCGATGTAGCGTCATTCCTTCAATTGGAGAATTGATCATGATTGATTGGAGGTACGTCAAGGTTAAACTATTCTACTGAAAAAGGCATACAATGCAATTTAGTGTCTTCATCTTCTGCATAGCCTTGAAGGGTTCAATGTTACAGGAGTACTGAAAGTCGTGATACTATCGATATTTGCCGTTGGAACTGTTATAGTGAAGAAATGGGAGGATTTGTTGTAAGTGAATCAACCGAAGCTGGAGCCAAGGTTCGTTGTGAGCGAGATCGCTTACTTATTATGCCGATTGGTTAGCGCCTGTTAGCGCGCCTACTTTTGGATGCGCATTGATTTTGCGCGGACTAATCAATAGCCGTTTCCACGCCAAATATAGTCCGAATAGTATGCACTGCTTCAAATTATAGAAAACAAAATATAGGTGCTCGACCGAAATGGGAATCGACAAAATTTTATCCATCCGGAACCCAGTCCGCTCACATAGTTAGGAAAAAAATCTGAAAAACGAAAACAATTCGAAAAAAGAAAGAGAACAAGAAGGGTGTCAAGAAGGCGTTGCATTCTACTTCCACATTGTGGCCTTTCCAGCCAAATAAAATTTTCCAATGACAACTTTGATGGATGACAGCTGAGAGAAGCTTTTCTTTCATGTCCATCAAATGCAAAAAGATTGAATCGTATTCGCCATTTCATCGAAAAAATATAGGTTGTTCATGGGATCGTCTTGGCCGCAGTATATAAAAACCTAGCGCGCTTTAACTAAGCGAAGATCATGAGGAAACATATGTTGGTATTTCGCAGACGAGGATGATGTAGATAATAGTTAAGGGTGTTGGGATATCTAGTTCCAGAGGGATGAGCGGAAGCGATGGAAGCGATAGTCCAGATAATGCAAAAATGGCGTTGAAACGCGAATGGCGTACTTAGAGGAATGTAAGGTCCTGAAAAAAGTAAGATTAGGAGTTGGACCAGAGGGGCTACAAATGTTGTATTTAAGGGTTATTTCAACTTGCTGTCTAACTGAGTGTGCCATCGCGTACAGCTGGATACGGTTAGCTGCCTTCGTGCAACGTATGCGTCCCGATGCGAATGGTGCAACCTCTACAGCATCTGCAGCGATCCCATTTACTATGGCTGCTTTCATAGTCCGCCGGCGTGCGTGCCGGCGTGCCGGCGTGCCAGCCGAGGCAGTGCTGGAGGGAGGAGTGAGGCAGACGGTCAGTTGACGCGGACGCGTCGCGCCCAAGCCTTTCGAAGGGCGTAAACAAAGGAAGACACGATCAAAAACCATGCACCTGGTTGTTTGGTTTTTGAACTTGTTCTTCCTTGTTTTCAGCCATTCGGAGGGGCTTGGGCGCGACGCGACCGCGTCGACTGACGACTGACCGCCTGCCTCCCCCCTTCCCACTAGCCTCGGTTGGCGTGCCGGCACGCGCGGACTATGAAAGCAGCCTATGAAGCGCTTCGTCTGTCGTTCTGTCTGTCGTCTGTCGTTATATATGTCTGTCGCGAAATTCATTAGCTCCTTCAGATCTGCCAGGAGAGACCGGGTCAAGCGTGGGATGGGTGGGTCATGTCCCGAGATGTATAAAGCACACATCAGCTTGGCGGAGCCTCACCACAATGGGCGTGGCGTGCATCAAAATGAGCTGTACTGGGGACCATGATTTCACATTTAGTCATAAGACGGCCTCAAAACTGGGGTGTAAAGGGGGCTAGAGGTGTGCATTGGTATGTGGGATCGAACTAGGGAGACCCATCCCGATGGGTGGGGCGTTCAGTGCTTTATGAAAACATTTTGAAAAATCATAACTCCTGTCCCCGTGGACCTAGAAAGTTCAAAGTTGGAGGGAGTATAGGCGGCGAGATGAGAGCACTCATGATGGGTAGCAAAACCAGACTCCGCCCACAGTGGGCGGGGTTTGAGCGGAAACTCATAAATCCTGTTCCTATAGACCTAGAGTGTTCAAATTTGGTAGGAGTACAGGCGGCACGATGGGAACACTCATGCTGGGCGGCAGGACCGGACTCCGCTCACAGTGGGCTAGTGGGCGGGGTGAATGGAACTTCATAGCTCCTGTTCCCGTGGACCTGGAACGCTCAAATTCGATGGGTGGTGTTCGGGGAAGCCATTTTAAAACGGGAAGGAGGGGAGCCCGGCGTCAACCGGGTGAACCGACTGAAGTTGTTATTTAAAGCTAGCTTGTCTGGGATTACATTTAGCAATATGCTTTCTTTTCTAGCCAAGGGCAGTTCCAGAGTCCTATACACCTTACTCCTGCCCATGTAAGCTAGCTTGGCTGCTTCAAAGTAGCTATAATCTTTCGCTTTGATGGCGTAAACTTTATCTTTGAATTTCAGTTCACTGGAATGTTCTATACCATGGGCAGGATCATATACGGTGTAGTAGCGCTAGAAAATCCATCAATTTTCAACAATGTCATCGGAGTAGTTCAGGATACGGCCAATGTGCTGGACAGGAACTATATTGGTTAGTTGAATACGCATAACGAGCTATTTAGCCCAGTGGACAGTACATCACAACTGCGGAATGACGGTAAAGCCAGATGAAGTCCAAAGAAATTTACACTTTCCTAGATTTGCTCCTCCCATGACAAAGTCCCATTAAGCTTACTATCATAGGTGACTCTCGAACTGAAAAACGCTCTTTTCAGATGTTTCAATAATAATGAAATCTCGTCATAATCGTCATCAAGTAAGATTAATGGAACGTCATAACCGTTGAGAGGAGCGCTGCCATTTCAAGAGCGCACAACTTACTGCGTTTCTGGTGATTCCACACACTGTTCTCGATTTCTTCTCTGTCGAAATTGCACAGAGGTCGAATCGTTCCTTTACTACTTCACTGCCTCATTGAAGCAGATTTGCAAGGTTTTAGGTTTGAGTACATCTTATCCTATCCCGCAGTGCGAGCTTATCTAACAGAAGGGCCCATCGGTCGCCTTCCTCTATTTTTCGCACCTCTGGGTTTCCGCATAATCGATTTTTGCGGTAGTTTCGTACTTTCTCTCGCGGCCTCCAATGCTATAGGGTATGTTTCACATCCTGACCCGTAATTCAAAATGATTGCAGCAGGTTCAGAATTTTAAGGTCATTTTTTCGGCATACTTGTGAAGATTTGCGTGCATCCCATTCTTTTTAACTGGCAGGCGACTGAATTTAACAGAAATATTACTTTTTATTTGCGCGGATCATGCGATCAATTATCGCCTTGAACCGAAGAAACTTCCAATTCCTTAAGTTGTATAGACATATGATTTCACAGTGGCTTATGTGGACCATCTCTCAAGACCACTGTGCTTTTGACTCTGCCTAATTAATCTGGTAGTAATAGACCAATCGCAAACGACTAACAAGTCTTATAGGTCGAAATTGAGTCCCAGTGTTTGACTCCTGTCCCCTGTCGAATCAGTTTGTAGTAAAATGGACCAGAGAGTTGATTGGTCGATTTCATTCTGAAAACTGAAATCTACCGTGGGAATCACGCCTTTCCTTGAGTGCCACGCGGTTAGCATAAAATGTTTTATTTCGTTATAAAGGAGTTCCATAGAATCAACCAATGAATTATTGCCGTCTCTTCTCTCCAAGAATTTCGGACGGTCTCGGACGTATTGGGGTTGCTCTGGCTGGTCTTACTGCTGCTGATGATACTACGGCGGACGACGCTGCGGCTAGGTCGAATACAGGAAACCAGCAGTAATGCTAGAAGACGAAGACAGAAGCAACCGATCGTGCCTGTAGCGGCGAGGCTTATCTCCGACTGATCAGTGAGACGTATCGAAGTTGCGTTGTTGCTGGCAACAGCGAGGCCGAATACAGTCCAGGCCTGAATAGGCACGGTAAACTGTAGCAACGAGACCGAAGGGTGAGGAATAATTAAATGGTAGTGCCTGGAGTGGCGAGGCTGATCTGCCGACTGATCAGGACGTCGTATCGGAGCTGCGCCATTGAAGTGTAGGGAAGCCGAAGAGGGCATATTGATCACTGGTGTTGGATAAAGCCGTAATGGCGATCGAAGAGTATTGGTTGTAGTCCGTCGAGAATCTCCGTCCCCCGAAGACGTTACGTGAGGCTTATATACGGTCAGGTTAAGTGACTGTTGAGGCTAAGAAATCTCTCTGTAAAGATAAGTTCCCCTGATGAAGTTATGTTTTGAGAACTAAGAGAATAGGAGCTATTAGGTAGATGCATATTTATTGCGGATTTTTCGCGGCTTCTTTTCTCTCGATAAAACTAAACTTTTGAATTCGGGATTTTTTCGGAAACAATCTTCTCGCTTTCCTCAACAGAAACATGTCCTGAAAGTCATCTCCATTTACGCCAAATTATGACATACTACTTCGAGAAACGTTGGAAGGTGGCCCACTCACAACGTGATCTCAACGAGCTTCTCGGGGATGGAACAGTCAACCAAAGCCGAACAAGGAATGGAATCTGCTTCTGCGGTTGCCCATTCACCAACAGATACTCCTATGGATTATCTCGTCAATCGCTCTTTAAAAAATTGGTTAACGAACACAACTTTCGAGTGGATGTGGATGGCTTGATGGCCAACGTCAAGGCGAGGTCACCTCCAGGAATCGAAACTTCTTCGCCTGTGGAATCCGACAGCCTAGCAAATGGGAAGCAGTACTTGACGAAGATGGTTGATAGGTTCCGGAGCAATTATTTGAACATGTTTTTACTAGATATTTCTATCGTTTCTATAATTATGCATCAACCTAATACAAAGGAATGTAAACCTACCATCTCCTTCCCGGGGAACATGAGGAAAGTCGTATTTTGCAACATCTACGTTATATTCCTGCTCGGACTTTATTCAAAGTAATAATACTCAATTCATTGTAGGATTCACTTACGGCTGACAAGATTCTTTTCAGGCAAATTGAAACCACTGTATCATTCGATGAAGATTATGATGGTTGTCATTGGACTCTCATCAGTGTGGACGAATATCTAAAAAAGGGAGTCAGCGAGGTGGGAAGCATTTTTTTGACTGGTTCCAAGAGTTTTCTCGAACACGGCAATAGTAAATTTGAGTAATAGGTTACTGTAACGTTTCAGCTCATTTGGAGCCTTCTTGATGGTGATTGAGACTGATTTATTTCTGACTCCTAGAAGAGCACACCATTTTCATTCCTCACCTCAATTAGTTTACTGCTGTCATAATACAGTCGCAATCCTTTGGTTGGACTGATGATGGGGCCGTTAGAAGGTTACTATTGGATACGATCTCGTTCTGATCTGATCAGTCCATAGTTACGTCAAAACTTCATTTCTTCCGCTTCCTTTTGCGAAAGGATGGTCCTGCAACTACGATATCTTATGGGCTTCAAGAAATTTCTCCGAAAGTCTTCTGCAACAGCAGCTCTGCATTTCGACTACAGCTGTCTGTCACGCCCATGTTGAATCGATGCCTACAAAAACGAGAGCAGCCGGGAGAAGGTGCAAAACCGTTACGGCAGGAGGCTGTGCCGATGTAGTCATTCTTGTCTCGCCACTGCTGTTCAGATGGTATTACTATAGGTATCTGTGGTGACTGTTCACCCTTCTTATTCATCCTGAGCTGTTTTGCCGTTTGGCTTTTTTGTATCAGGACATTATAAAGCAGGAGATTGTAGCAGTGGCTTCAATTACATGGATTCAGGGTATTTTACATAGGATTATGCATGTCTCTTTCAATGTAATGGAGCTTCTGAGCTGATGAGCCTTTACGTTTGCAGTGGCCAAGCGAAAGGTTCCACTTTTTTTCAAAGAAAATATGGTGTCACGAGTTCGTGGCCACCCTTTGGACTACGATCCGCATCGGCGGTACGAGCACCTCAAACCTCCTCGCTCACCGGGCCACCACACTGCGCCCCGAGACAGGAGGGCGGACCAACCCCCCGAGGACCACGGGTGTTGGCTGGGAAGGCTCCCGCATTGCCAAGCGACCTCAGCCCAATACCTCGCGACGGGATCCCTGCCCCTGACACAGGGAACAGCTGACTGAACGCTGCGACGAAACCTACTCCCGTCGCGACCAGCCAGAGTGCCCTACCTTACTTACTTCCCCAAGACAAGTACAAAAGTAAGGAACACTGGTTCATTATGCTAACTGTGAACTACACTATAACTACGAAATGCCAAATAGGGAACTGTACTATAATGATGGACATGTGGGTCAAAGCCAAAGAGTATCACAAGAGTGTAAAGTGATTACCATGAGTAAAGCACATTAAATATGGCATTGACGCAATATACATAAGGAGCAAAGCGAGTATGTACACAATGAACAGTAGCACGACACTCACCTATCCCTCAATCTTCAGGCTTCTTTCAAGGCAAGCTCCCTCATCCCTCATTCCGGGCCTTCACTGGCCTCGGCGGTCTTCTTGCCTTCCTTCCTCCTCAGTATCCGACAGGTGACAACTGCACGCCCTCGGAGAGGGGTGCTCGGATACTGGTCGGGCTTACACTGGCGCTCCGTTGCCCTATAGGCAACTTCACAGCGTTGCCCGGCTATACCGATCAGCAGCCGACAGCCAGCCGGTCGCCGTGCGTGACAAGTGACGAATGGCTAGGCTAAGCGAAGGAACGCGCACAATGCGCGCACATACGCGCCGCGTTATGGCGGCCGAGCAAAGATGGGCCGGGCGCGCGCGGTGCGACCAGCGGCCACTGTCGCATCCGCGACATATGGAAAGTGTCTTGTCATAAGAAGTCAGATTATACAACTTTCAAGTCTTGCATACCTCTTGCAAACTGTCAACTATACCTTTTTTCCGTACTTTCAGATTCCTGACCAAAAACAGCCATTTAAAGGAGTTGTTAGTGCAATAAACCGGGGACAATCCAGAGCGGTAATCTACATAACATCACGCTATTTCCCTCACGATGTGCGCTTTTACACGTGGAAAAATGTGTAGGTTATTCTCATTTCCAATTCCCTTCTCTCTGAACATCCCTTTCTTCATCTTCCTATCCGGCTAAATGAGTGGTACTTATGGTTCTTTTAGTTAACTTTCTGAATCGAGACTTCGTTCTACCGAAACCTCCTCAAAGAGGGGATTCAAAAACCTCTCCCATTACAATCCTTATGCCGTTTGCTTTCTTTTTCGCGTCTCCGTTTTTTTTGTGTTTATAACTAACTTCTAGAGATCCGAAACTCCCCTACAGCCTACTGGGCCGCGAAGTAAATTTTGCAGCCTACAAGGATCCTAGAAGTCAGAAGTGGTCATGTGTTGTGGGCACAATCAAGCCCAACGAAACAAATAACTTCAGTATTTCCCGTGAGGGCGACTTATTCGAAGTGAGAACTGCAGACTTATTCGAAGTGAGAACTGCAGCTTCAGTTTTCGGTCGTTCATTCGTTAGCCGTAATGATTTATTCTAGATAGAACTAGCTGTTGAGTATATTGGTTGTACGGATGAACACGGATGTATTCTCGTGTGGAGCGATCAGTTGGAATTTGTAGTCGACAACGAAAGGCTTTTTGAAGATCGTGGTTCGTTTGTAAAAATCGAGCTTTTGTTTCCTGTATAAATTGGAGTACAAGAAATGCTACACAGTCCACTGACAGATTATGTTGAGGAGAATCCGTAGAAGAATTTACTGCGGGCAGGATAAATCGGAGAACGGTAAAGTAGGTAAAGCCAGTATTTGGAGTACGGGGATTCTCAAGAGAAATATGGCACTCACAGAGAGAGGGATTCTGAGAATGAGCGGTTGTACCAAGAAGGCGTGCGGAGTGAACCAGAGCGACTCAGATTCAATTAATCATTGGCATCTTTCATAGTCCACGACCGGTCGCGCGACCAGTCGCGCGACCAGTCGCGCGATCGATCGCGCGACCGGTCGCTCGATCGGTCGAGGAGGCGGCGCTAGCCATGGGTGCCGTCGAGGACGGTCCCGAGCAGATCGAGACCGTCGATGCGGTCGCGTCGCGCCCAGGCCTTCGATGGCTGGTGGGGAGAATATTAGTTGTTCTTCGTGCCTCGAGTAACTTAATTGAGAATATATCTGGAATTCGAGTTTGTATCAGAGTCTATCATATCTTGATTGATCGT